AAAAAAAACCGCAAAATTCGAGGATTAAAAGCAGCAGCCATGAGAAAAACACCGAAATTCGAAGCATTCAAAAGCAGAAGCGGTAGCGACGGCAGCAGCAGTAGCAACAGCGGCAGCACGAAAAGCACTAAGAAAGCGTTCTTCACTAACACAAAAAATGCCTGCCCAGCTGTACAGAGCTGATTCCTGTTCCCTCATTTTTCTCATTTCACATCGCTATAATTTAACATAAATTAGAGTATGCGGTAAAACTTAATGGACCAAAATAGCTATAATATCCTAGCGGATACTATTATAAACTGTTGTATAACAAATTGCGGGCGTTAAAAGACCGAATCGTAAACCTAAAAGAAGTGGACGGTCCAAAGTAATCAAAATGTGGAACGGCCTGAGTCAGGAAGTTAAAAAAACGAAGGGTGGGATAAGTTCGTTTAAATAATTTGCGGCTGTTGGTAGGCCTGGTACAAACATATTTAAATAGTTCAATTTTTTTCATCCACTTTCAGTTACTTTTTTTTAAACGCATTCTTCGTATACTTAACTTTTATCTACTCATATCCACTTACTTTATTTCCAGTCATCTTCTAAAGCTAACTCCCGACTATAGTCTAAATCTTTTTCAAAATCAGCCATTACGGCTATTCCACAGGGCCTAATCATAAAACGGATTTGCTTACGATTTATTAAAACGTGAAAGCGGCTCGGCTGGCGCTGCCGTTTCTTTATCCGTTGTCGTCCCTGGATGCGACGGCTTTTGCCATGACTGAATCTGTGCGGCTGGCATTGCTGCCGAGGAGTTTGATTCAGTGCTTGCCGATCGTGAAACCGAGCTACTCTGAAAAACTATTATAGTTTCATCGATCAAAAAAATATTATTATTTCGTAAAGCAAAAGCATAAAAAAGCACCATACATTTTTTGTGGTTTAAACCCTGAATAATTTCAATTTTTAATCAGTGCATTAGCATTTCTGAAGCAGGAAATGAGGAGGATTTTTGAAGGCGATCACATGAGGATTGTGAGGAATTCTGAAGAGAACGAAGAGGATCATATGAGGGTTATGAGGATGAAGAGGATCATATGAAGAATATGAGGATTTTTAAACAGGACGAAGAGGATCATATGAGGATCAAGAGGATGAGGAGGATCATATGAAGATTATGAGGATTTCTGAAGAAGGTGAAAAGGATTACGAAGATTATGAGGATTTCTGAAGAGGATGAAGAAGATCGGATGGGGATTATGAGGATGAGAAGGAACATATGAGGATTATGAGGATTTTTGGAGAGGATGAGGAGGATGAAGACGGTCATATGAAGATTATGAGAATTTTTGGAGAGGATGAGGAGGATGAAGACGGTCATATGAAGATTATGAGGATTTTAGAAGAGGATGAGGAGGATGAAGACGGTCATATGAAGATTATGAGGATTTTAGAAGAGGATGAGGAGGATGAAGACGGTCATATGAAGATTATGAGGATTTTTGGAGAGGATAAGGAGGATGAAGACGGTCATATGAAGATTATGAGGATTTTTGGAGAGGATGAGGAGGATGAAGACGGTCATATGAAGATTATGAGAATTTTTGGAGAGGATGAGGAGGATGAAGACGGTCATATGAAGATTATGAAGATTTTTGGAGAGGATGAGGAGGATGAAGGCGGTCATATGAAGACTATGAGGATTTTAGAAGAGGATGAGGAGGATGAAGACAGTCATATGAAGATTATGAGGATTTTTGGAGGATGAGGAGGATAAAGACGGTCATATGAAGATTATGAGGATTTCTGGAGAGGATGAAGAGGATCATATGAGGATTGTGAGGATTTTTGAAGGGGATGAAGAGGATTCACTGCACCAGGAAAAGGGGTTTATCCCAAACACCAAAAAAAAAAAGATATTCCAAACCATTCAACCAAACAACAATACCAATTTTATAACATCCAAATTTGTGTGGTTTCAAAAAATTCCATCAAAAAAAAAAAATATATCAAAAGGGCAAACCAAGGGGGGAACCAAGAAACCATGGCACCAAAGAAGGAGTCGGAATTGTCTGTACACAATTTAGATAGCAAATGGTCAGTGAAACCAGTAAAAACAGTACGGGTCTCCAGCACGTCTAAAGCGTCGATGCCATTAAAAATGGTGCTTTTTTTTACAAAACTAAAAGATGATGCTTGTTGGTGGTGAGAGCAGCACCAGGCACTTTTCACACCTCCATTTTCCTCAAATAGCACACACAGATATGCCTCCTCTGATGAATCACTTTGAAGCATTTGTGAAGAGCACCATTCTTTTAGCTGCTGTGTACCATTCTTATTCACCAACACGGACGACGACTGGCTCTCCTAGCTCCTTCCACAACTGGTTTTTTACAAAAAATGTGAATATGAACATCTGGGCATAAAAGAAAATGTGCTGCATAAGACTGGTGGAGGGGATCAGCCATTTCATACAAAGATTCAGGAATACACAGCCACTGCAAAATGAAAGACAAAATATCCCTACGTAGTTTGGTGCAGTTCACACACAACGTAATTAACTGGCAGTACGCAAGTTTTTATCGTTAACAGCACTG